TATTTTTGCTTCTCTTTTTTATAACAGGAATGTAATGTTAACTACTGAATCAAACTTATCTGATCTAATTAGCAACTCGGCTAGAATCTCTAGACTAAATTTAACTTGAAGTCAATTCTATAATAAATTTACTACATTAAAAATAGTTCATTCATTTTATATATTCATTTCATTTACTTCCACCTCCGAGAGTTCTGGAAAGTGATGTTAACCGAAAAATTAACTTCAAACGGCCAATGGATATTCAAAGGACAATTATACAAATAGGTAAATAAAGTAGTCTTAATTTATTTATTATCATATTTTTTATGGTAAACGTATAAATAGCCATCTCCTTTTCACAGCTAATGAACTTGCGAAAACTTCCTCTGCATCATTTAATTTTAATTCATTAATTATTCGAGAAATATCTATAACTATCTCAAGATTCATATGTATGTTGCCTTCTTTTTCGATATCCATAAGCTTTTTATAAACTATATATTTAATCTTTTTAGATTTTATTTTTGCTTACAAATATCATTTAAAATTTGTTTTTACATTTCTTTTTCGGCTTCATTTATACGGGCTGAACATTCAAAGCATGTTTTTTGATTACTTTAAAATGTAATAATGAGTTTATAATTTGACAAGATGAACAAAGTTTAATAAAAAATTTAATACAAATATGGTATCAAAATACAAGCGCCAAAAAAAAAAACACAATAAAAAAAAAAAATTAACTTTATATGATGTAATAATTTTTTACAATTCATTTTCCATCGCCACCTTATTTTTATATTTAATTTCAAGCTTTCTGGTTTTTAATTCTAGTTGTAATTTATACTCAAGATCTAATTTGTACCTTTCTAATTCGGTTTTTTCATTTTTTTCATGTTCTCATTTTTTTTTTCAAATTTGAGTTTATCTATTTCTAACTAAAGAAGTTTTTGCTTGGTTTCGACCTCAGTTTTTTTAGTTTGTGTAATTATATCGATGGAATTTATGTAATGCATTTCATCTTCATCTAAACACCGTTTCTTATTAGATTTTAGAGTGCAATCCTTATCATTACCATTATCTTTTTGCAAGTTATTACGATAAGTCTATATATAT